CCAACCAAATCGTTAAATTATTTGATTAAACTTTCTCCTGATTATTTTTTTTGTCTACTGCTGAATTTATCTCTCTTTCAATTCACTTTTTATTTTTAGTTCATTCCGACCAAAATATGAATTTGGATTAAAAGGATCAAAAGGACAATATTAAATTCTTAATGAAAAGTAGGAGCAATTTATAAAAATGAGTTTTTATTTCTCAAATTTGAATTTCTTCAGTAGAATTTTGCTGAATTGGCTTTCAAAAAATTACTCACTTTTTACTTTTTTTAAAATACCTTGTAGTTTTTTTGAGTTGCAAATGAAAAATCAACTTCTGTCCTCGCCGAAATTTATCACAAATTTATTTAAACAGTTATATTTGTAAAGAAAATTTCAACATTTGGAGTAAAAATATTATGAATTCATTGTTTGTATAATCATTTTTTTTTTTTATTATAAGAAGTGTTTGACAAACTCTTGAGAACTAAACAACTGCAAAAGTGACGGAAATAAAAAAAATTCATCCTCTTTATTTTTGTTTCCGACGGACAATGTTGGCGATGCAGGAAAGCAGAAGTTGATCGCGGCTTTAGATGAAATGTTGTTTTGATACTTCCGCAGACGTGCATGAATATTTTGAGATGAGAGAGCCTCTTTTTTTCTCCCCTCCCTTTTTTTGGTGGCGTCATCAGGCTCCATTATTTTTGCACCGAGCTCCGACTACAATGGCTTTTCTGCCCCGGCATATCCATATTTACATATGAACAAGGCAGCAGCTCTGCACTCGTACATGTGAAGAGGAGGAAAAATAGACCGAATTAGGCTCCGATGTGAAAAGGAAACCTTTACGAAGAAGCATGCGCGTGTTTTTTGATGCGATTAGATCCGAGCTAAAGCCGAGTTGGAATGATTTTTCTGCAAATTGTTTTTCTTTTTGATTCGCGAAGACGTTTAATTTCTCTTTCCCAGAATCATATAAGGAAAAATCATTTATTTTTAATCCTAAAGAGAGACAAGTGATAAGATTTTTTTAAATTATATCACAGTGAACTTATTCTTACAAACTACTTTATCTCTTCTTTACAATTGTGCCTGGAAATTAGTTTTCCTTTTACAGAGAATTTGCCTTAATATCAATGTGAAATAGCTTTTTTTTAAACAATAAGTCGGTTTTAAAAAAAACTGACAAATATAAAGAATAAATTTTTGCTGGTATATAATTGCAACATGCATTTTTCTAAAGGTGAATTGTGACAAAAGAGACCAAGATCACATTGAGATTTAATGAGAAGCAACGGTTACAAGAATCAAGCGTTTGACTGGTCTAAACGGTTCCCCCTCCACCAAATTCTTGCAAGCTTTAAACTATCAAGAGTGACGCGTGACGCATCGTTGGAAAGGTCATATCACGACGAATCGATTTCAGCAGTGGAAATTTTTACCAAAAAGGTTCAATCTTTATATGTAAGACTGGAAAATTTCGCCAAATTTTTAGAAAATCTGTTTCGTATTTCTAGTTTCAAATTCTGAGAGTCGATTTGGAATGCTTGAACTTAACTTTCAACTGTTCTTTACGTAAATCTTTAAAAAATTTCTTCTGATTTCACAATCAGGTTCTGCGATCCTGTCCTATTTTTTAGATCCTCCTGAAACAAAAGTTAATTTGAATAAAAAGTCGTTGTGATTTCAAAATTTTATGTAATTAGCGAGTCAAAGTAACTCTAGTGAAATTCAAAACAATTATTAAGGTTGATTTCAAATTTGAATGAATTTTAGTCCGAAATTATTCTTTGAATGCAAATAAATTTGAAAAATAAAATCCTGACCATTCTCTTTTATTACTGAATTTTGTTCAAGCGAGGCGGAACTGGTTCCTCTGATCTTGGTTTTGATGGTTTGTAATTGGCCTTCACTCGCACGCGGCCCCTCTCATGAATTAATTTATCCGGAAAAGCGGCCGTTTAATTAGATCGGAAGAATTTCGCAATGGAATGCAGCAAAGGGGGTGATGAAAAATCGCTGCCATAGAAGCAAGGATTGCGTTGAGCAGCTGGCATCGATTGCTTTTGTTCCAGAGATGTACTTTTTTCTGTGGAAAATTTATTTGCTTTCTGCAGGAGAGAGTGAAATTGCACGAGAGAGAAAGATGGGAGGGCAATTTGGTATATTCGTCGGAGGAGGCGTCGTTAGCGAAAGGGTAACAAAACGAGACGCGCGCGAACCACCTGCTGGGCTCGGGTTGCATAAATTTGACTGTTTCTCGTCTGATCCTCCCTTTTCGTCTCAGCACTTGCGACGCAGCCACCGTAACTTCGCCGTTTTCCATTTTGAAATTAAAAAGGTCTTTTCAGGCCACGTGCACATTCAATGTTGGCAGTTTATTCAATTTCTACAATTTTCATTTCAACTCTCATTATTGTAAAGAATCAACAAAATCAATTTTCGTTGACGGGCGCGGTTGACAATTTATTTCCAGAGAAATTGTGCAAAATTATCGCCTGGGTAGGTTCGTAGCCAATTTATAACTAGCACACTAAATATTCTACCGATTATCAAAACTAAAAATGGAAGGAATTTTGTTTCTGAGCATTTCTAGCTAGTTTTGGCGAACAGTGATTTTTACCCCCTCACCCCTAGATCCACCCTTGGGACTTGAAAAAAAATTCATGGTTTCTGGCGACCATCTACAAATCTCGGACAGGTCATTCTGAGCATTTCTAGCTAGTTTTTGTGAATAGTGATTTTTATCCCTTCACCCCTAGATCCACCCTCGGCGACTTGAAAAATAAATGGTTTTTTTATTTTTTCAAAATGTCCTTTAAAACCTACAATTTTGGAAATTTTTTCAAAATAATTTAGGGGTGTTGCGTCAGAGTCATGGTTGCCATGCTATGAAAATCTGAACCGGCTAACTTCAACTTTGGGCATGGGATGTGAAAACCGGAAGAATCGCACACATTTTTATGTTATGTGAACTGGAACAATTGAGAAATAATTTCAGGTGATCGTTGGGAGATGCCGAGCCAAATTTTCAAATAACCAAAGTTTTTGGTTATTTTATTAAACAGCATTTTTTCTCTTCTTCAAAACGCGAAACTGACAAAACGAAAAGCAGCGCGTTGAACTCGTTTGCACGTGGACACAAAATTAATTGCCTTTTTTTCAGGTCGGTGCAGCGAGGGAAACTTGATATCGCAACTTGCTTTTTAAAAAAACGACCGACCAACTCGTTTCCTCAAAAAGTCAAAACGCCAAACAAGATTTCTCTGTTACCGGAAATTGTTCTCAAAGTTCAGGCATTTTGGGCACGTATAGTTGGATAGAAAAATAAGATAATTGCCAGAATCTCAGGTTTTTATTAAAAATTCCATTTCATGCTGAGACCAATAATTTTACTTAAATGTATAGAATGATTAAATTTATTGAACTGAATTCTAAAGAATATCACAAATTATCAAAATAAAATGATTTCAATTTCAATTAAATTCATTTGAAACGGAGTGAATTCTTCTATTGTAATGATGAAAATAAATTCGTTTGAAGATATTGACACTCGAGGAGATGATCATGAACAAGTCCGACTTTTTCATTCCCAAAAATAAATTCATTTAATTTTCAATTCCCTTTCAAAATCTCAAGTCTATAAAATAATTATTTACTTATTATTTTAAAACTCAGATAAAATGAAACAAAGCTAGAAATCTCTGTAAAACCTAGCGATGTAATAATTAGGTGCGGAAGAGTGCTTAGACGGTTCTGCTAAATGTCGTCTTCATTTAAAATACAGAATATAAATCGAGTTGTTGATTAATTTGGAAAAGAGCGTTCGTTAAAAAAAAATAATTAATAAAAAATCTGCAAATTGAAAAACAGAGATGAACCGAGTATCCGTCTCAATGCAGATTGCATTTAAAATTTCACTGTTAAATTGTTAAATATTTCCTCCTGCGAGAGTTTCGAAACTTTCCAGCGTACGCTCGTTTGACGCAAAACGATAAAAAGCGCCTCTTTAATTTATCACTCGCTTGGAAGCAAAATTAATTGCTTGTGGCGTGCTCGTTTGCGGCAACCTGAAAGGGGAAAAACTCAAATAATTACCAATAATGAAGCATATATATCAGAATAAATGAAAAAAAAGCAGATTTCAGGTGGTTGGCTTGAATTCTGCAAATTTCGTTCAAACTGCATTTATTTTGCATTTTATTCGCTTATTTCAAGAATCCTAGACAACAATGAAGTTAAAAATTTATCGCAAATCGTGGCTAACATTGTTATATAGACTTAATTTGACCTCGCCACTATAAGGAGTTTGCAGAGATTCCTTGATTTTTGATTACCTTCGCTTTGAATCATGGTTTCTGAGCACAAAAATTTTCAGGTGCTCAAATTAATTTACTCTTGCTCCTGCTCACTCCTAAAAAGTGCTCCCTAATTTCTGCTCCTGCTCACCTTCAGAATGCTCACCTGCGTCTGCTCGCGAGCATGCTCACTACAGGAGTGCTCAATGGTGCTCGAGAGCAAAATTTTGCTCAATCTTGCTCGAGAGCAGCTCATGCTCAGAAACCCTGCTTTGAATGATTAATGAACAAGGGGATACATTTATTTTACAAAATCAAAACCTGAGTTTTCATTGCAATTAAGTTTCCTTGTCTCTTGTGAATATGACTCTGTACACAAAAGGAAGTAAAGCTAGGCAGTACATTTATTGAATTTTGTAAAGAATTTAACGCTTTTCTCAGATTAAAAAAAAAGAATGATTCAGATATTATTTAGCCATCGACGAAAAGGAGGGGTCAAAATTTATTTGCAATTAAACCCAGAGAAAACCTCATTTCAACGTGAATTCATTGTTATTTTTAATATTTTTGTCGCACACAAAGGCAACGGAATATAATCTAGGGCGCTCCAAATCAAGGCTCATCAATCATTTTTTTTAATTCCAATCGATTTTATTAAATTTCCACACCAATGCAAGAGAGAAAAGTGTTTTTTTTTTCTGGCCGGACGTGGCCGCATTAAGGTATAGCATCAGGCACGGTGTCCAGAATGAAAGTCCTGTAGTGTTGAACCGGGAAGAATTCTGTCACGCCATTGTAGAGGCCAGAGACGCTGCTGCAATCGACCCAGTTGACGAACGCCACCAGCACTCCGTTGATCAGCAAGGCAGGAACTATGTCGTAAACGGGATCGTTGTCGTACTGAAACATTTTCAAAAATTGTTCACAAACATAATTTCAATTCTCAATGCAAGGGTATACCGAACAATCGGTGGCGTCGTTGACGGCGCATGCGTTGGATCCGTCCGGGTTGAATTCAGACGAGCTATCGCCGGCGTCCGTGTACGCCTGTGGACAGTTTTCGTTGGCCAGCACATCCGTCGTGTGTCCGAACAGCGTCTGCAATCAAATATTTGAATAAAAAGTGTTACAAAAAGAAAGATGGCGGACGCACGCCGTTGGGGGTGTAGTAAACGACGGTGCCGGTGACGTTGGTGGTGAAATCGTGATAGAGAGATGGCGTCAGGGGTTGGAAGGGGCCTGGGAACTTGTAGCATATTTTCATTATCTGGATCCAATCGTCGTCATCGCTCCAATCTCTGACGTTTGTGACAGGGGCGGGCAAGCCGTAGATCGTGATTGTCTTTTTATCGGAATAGCTTCAAAAATTATTCGAATGAATACAAATTTCCATGTAAATCAAATCACGGTCATACTAAAGCGTGTCGGCGTTGGACATGATGTACTGCCGCGAGATGAACACTCCTGGCACCAGATTATGACTTTCGTCCTCCACCATAACCTGCAATTTCTCATCAACATTAGAAATATTTCAAACAATTAAAGATGTGTAGAAGGACTAAAAAATTTTGGTAACAAGAAATGAAATGAATGTTTGAAGTAAAGATTTAAAAATAAAAAATAGTTGTAATAACGTTCGATATTTTTGATTTGTGCAAATTGCTGAGTATTATCTTGCAAAAGTAGAATTTCACTTCTAATTACAAAATTGGTGGGAAAATTTACTTAAAATTTATGCAAAATATATTTACCAATCCGGGGTAATCTGCATTGTCGAGCACCGTTGTGGGTCCATTTGCGGCAGCAACTGCGTGCAATGTTTTTCCGTTTAATTTAAAATTGCTCTGATGGAGATAATAATTTACGCATCAAATATTTTGAAGCAACTCAACAATTCAATCAATTTTCAAAGCGACTGTTACTTATATTGTAAATCTTGAAAAACTTCGTCGTTGCAAAATTATTGAAAATTCCTTGCAAGGATAGCCTGACCTGTGCCGAACCCGACGCCTGCCAACACGAAGACTGCGAGTTTTCCAACCAGACTCATCATCTTTGAAAGTTGAAGTTGAAATGTGACCGGCCACGACTTTGGGTCCTTTTAAAGGTTCGACGGTGACACGCAAATTAAAAACTCAACAATATGAAGCACGCACGTCAAGTATTGATAAGCGTTTTCCCCTCCATAGTTAAAGGTTCGACCTCTGTTTCCGCTTTCCTCGGCAGACGTTATCTTTGGCCTTGTCCGGTGCGTCCAATATTTCAATTTATTTCCTTTTCCTTAGTTTCTTTTTAAAATTCAAATAATTTAAATTTATGAAATATTTGATTATTACAGCGCAGAATGAAACTTCTACAGATTAGCATGTGCAAGGTTTAGCTTTGGAATCGGAAGCAGTTTTGCAAAAACATAATATAAAAAGGGTTTGTGTGTTTTGTAAGATGCAACACAATAAAATAATAAATTGTTTAAAAGCTTTGCTGAATTGATTTAAGACGGAATTCCGAGGAGATGAGGGTTTAGCTGGACGATGAGCGCCAAGAAATGGAAATGCAGATTCAAAATTGAAAGAGTTTTCAAAGCAACAAAATAAAACGAAACCGATTTAGATAAATTGTTCGCATGAATTTGCTCAATTAGCATAATCAGAGCACATAATTTTTCACTTTCTGACTCATTATATTCGTTTCGGAAAACGGTTTTTAGCACCTCTACGAGTACTTCATTAATTTAAATAGTACAAAATTGTGCTTGATTGTTCGAGAGGCCACGTCAAATTGTCAAACATTTTCACGGTTTCTTGAATTTTCTTTTTTTTTTTTAATTTCCTACAAAACTGATTGCGTGCATGAAACGACGAGCAGTGCCTCGACTTCCTTTTCACAAGTTGAGACAAGATGAATTGCCCATTTCCTGTTGGTGCGACTCGAAAATCGAGGCACTTGTTATCGCAACTTAATTGCGAGTTGAATTCTTGCTTTTTGAAAAGCAAACGTGTAGAGAAACTGACAAAGCCTCATTTCCACAAAAATTTAAAGGAGTGCTGACCCCTCGCTTTGACTTTAATTCCTGATTCAATTAAGGGTCCTGATTAAAACCTGAAAAGGGCGGCCGAAAATTCGGCGTTTTCGTTGAGAAATCTCAAAATGAAATTGGGCTGATTGGACTTTTTTTGCGCTTGGTCGCCATCTTGGTCCAACAATCGAAAATGTGAAATTGTTGTTTGCAATTTGGATGGCCGTGACCTGAGCCACGTTAGGTCAAGAAAATACCATGAAAAATAATTGAAAATGAATAAAATTTTGTGAAATCAAAGCTAAAGTGTTGCTTAAAATGACCCTTTAATTAAAATTATTAAATTATTTAGCACACATGAGATATAAAAGGGTTTGCTAAAAGTGCTGCCATTTGAAAACTAATTTTTTTAGAAGCAAAAACTTAATGGGAAATTTGTAGCCAATAAAACGCTCATTCTTTTTGTAACAGTACAAAGTACTGCACAAATTTTTCTTATTTAAGAAAAAATGAAAAATAAAAAAAAAATTACATTTTAGGTTAAAGGGAATTTTTTAATATTTTTTTCGAAATAGCCAATCAATTCAGCATGTCTTTTTTAGTCAAGATCTAAATTTTCGCTAATAAATTCAAGACAGTTAAAAAGTAACATCAAAATATTCAATGACAACTCTCTCATCTTAAAACAGGGCACGACCCGTTTGAAATTTTTTGATGTTACTTTTTAACTGTCAAGAATTTATTAGCGAAAATTTAGATCTTGACTAAAAAGGACATGCTGAATTGATTGGCTATTTCGAAAAAAAATATTAAAAAATTCCCTTTAACCTAAAATGTAATTTTTTTGGATTTTTCATTTTTTCTTAAATAAGAAAAATTCGTGCAGTACTTTGTACTGTTACAAAAAGATTGAGCGTTTTATTAGCTACAAATTTCCCATTAAGTTTTTGCTTCTAAAAAAATTAGTTTTCAAATGGCAGCACTTTTAGCAAACCCTTTTATATCTCATGTGTGCTAAATAATTTAATAATTTTAATTAAAGGGTCATTTTAAGCAACACTTTAGCTTTGATTTCACAAAATTTTATTCATTTTCAATTATTTTTCATGGTATTTTCTTGACCTAACGTGGCTCAGGTCACGGCCATCCAAATTGCAAACAACAATTTCACATTTTCGATTGTTGGACCAAGATGGCGACCAAGCGCAAAAAAAGTCCAATCAGCCCAATTTCATTTTGAGATTTCTCAACGAAAACGCCGAATTTTCGGCCGCCCTTTTCAGGTTTTAATCAGGACCCTTAATTGAATCAGGAATTAAAGTCAAAGCGAGGGGTCAGCACTCCTTTAAATTATTTCGGAATTGCTGTAAAAGAAGATTGATTATTAATTTGTGGACAATTTTTTTTCTAAATTTTCAGAAACTCTTCCAAAAATTCTAAAGAAAAAAGAAATTCCCAAACATAAATGGGTTTTTTTATCTCGGAAGTTTTAGCAAAATTCGCAAAATTCTTGCTAGTGGTGGTGCCGTTTTGTCCAACAATTTCTCTTTTTTCTCAAATAAATGTTTTCAACAATTGTATGTAAACAATGTGATGTAAAAATTTGGACAAATAGTGATTATAATAAAAAAAAAAAAATTAATTTCATTGACGTCTGCTTTCTCGCAAAAAGATGTGTGTTTTCTACCTCCTTTTAAAGTGGCACAAGAAATTGGGTTTAAAATATTTCAAAATAATTTTTTATGTTTATAAATTTAGAGTTTTAAATAATAAGGAATCAGTTGAATAGGTGACAAATTTTGATACCTAATTTTTTTCTTCCAAAAATAGTAAACCATGAAAGACCTGCTTAAAAAAGCATTTCGTAAATTGAGCCGATTTGTACGTAACTTATATCTTGCTAATATCGTCATATAATTTATTGTTACATTTAATGCATTTTCTTTTGCCAGCTGCGAGTGTTCAAACTTTCCAGCGCACAAAATTGCCACAAAATAATAAGCACCTCTGCTTTCTTTATCACTTCTCGGGAACAATTAAAATTAATTGCTTTTGGTTGTGCTCGTTTGCTTGGTGACTTGAAAATGAAAAGCAGAACACGAAGAAGCAGTAGTTATTCATCATTAAATATATTTCTTCCATTCAAAGGGAAATGATTTCGTGCAAATTATGGACCAAATAAAAAACATGTTTGTAGAAAATGCTGAAAATAAAAATACGGTTAAAAAGCAGATTTCTTTCCGAATTTTTGCAAAATTTCTATTTTCACTAAAATGTACTTGAATTTTATTCGCCCATTTCTCTGATTTTCCCTGATTTTTAATTATAAGAAACGAAGAAAAAGGAAACCAATTTAAGTCTGTTTTATCATCGAAAATGTTGGACTCACCAGACAAGGCCAGAGTAAATCGTCTTCCGAGGAAAAAGGAAACAGAAGTCGACCTTAAATTGCAGGGGAAAATATTACGCTTATTAAAAAAGGACGTTGCTGTGTCGTATTGGTGTTTTTTTGAATTGCTACTTCGGTCGACCCTTTAAAAGGAGCACCAGGTCGTGGCAGGCCACATAGCAATTTGAACTTTCCAAGATGATGAGTCTGGTTGGAAAACTGGCAGTCCTTGTATTGGCAGGCGTCGGCTTCGGCACAGGTAAAAAGATTTTCATAGTATCTTTTTGACTTAAGAATTTTTCACAATTTCGCGATGTTTTACATCGAGCAACGTGTATAATATTCAAGCCTGACTTGAAATTAATTAAAAAAGTTGGTCTTTAAAATCGATTTCCTGACTCGCTTAAAATTAACATGCATAATTTTTTTGTCAAAACGATTGAAAATTATAATCGAACGAAAACATTGCACGCAGTTGCTGCCGTAAATGGACCCACGTTGATTCTCAACAAAGCAGATTACCCCGGATTGGTAAAAACCTCAAATTTTTTATTTTACAATCCATTCAAAAAAACAACATGCACAAAACCAAAAAAAATTCTAACGTAATTAACTTGAAATTATATTTTTGTGGATATCTTTTTCCAAAATTTGAAGCTGTTTCATTTTTTGTCACTTCAACTTTTGAATTTTGCTGTAATGAATTTCCTTGAATCATTTTCTAATATGACGCGTTGCGAAACTACGTGTAGGTGATGGTGTTGGATCAATACGACAGTTTGGTGCCAGGAGTGTTCGTCTCTCGTCAGTACATCATGACCAACGCCGATGAGCTCACGTATGAAAACATTGAAGTAACTCAAAAAATTTAATCCAAATTATTTTTACGTTGCAGCTCTAGTGCTAAAAAGTTGGTAACGATCCATGGCGTACCCACCCCTTTTCCGGCCGTCAGAGACTGGTCCGGTCCCAACGATTGGATCGAAGTTCTGAAAATATGCTACAAAAAGTTCGACGGCCCGTACCAAACTCTGACCCCGTCCGACTACCACGATTTCACCACCAACGTCACCGGCACCGTCGTCTACTACACCGGCAACGGCGTGCGTCCGCCATCTTTCTTTTTGTAACACTTTTTTGTTCAAACGTATTTGATTGCAGACGCTGTTCGGACACACGACGGACGTGCTGGCCGCGGAAAACTGTCCGCAGTTGTACACTGACCAGTTCGGAGACGCGAACATGTTCAACACAGACGGAACCAACGAATGCGCCGACAACAGCGCCACCGATTGTTCCGTACTCTTGCGTCCGCGATCAAAATTCGTTTTTGAGCGTTTTTTTAAACTTTCAGTACGACAACGATCCCGTTTACTCCATTGTTCCTGCCTTGCTGGTCAACGGAGTGCTGGTGGCGTTCGTCAACTGGATCGAATGCGACAGCGCCACTGGCCTCTACAATGGCCTCACAGAATTCTTCCCGGTGCAATACTGGAGGGATTTCGTTCTGTCCAAGGTGCCTGATGCTATCCCTTAATGCGGCCACGTCCGTCCAGGAAAATCCTTTTTCTGTCTTGCATTGGTGTGAAAATTAAATTAAAGTGATTGAAAATTAAAAAAAAAAAAAAAAATGATTGTTAACTGAAGTTGCATGCCGCACTTCTTTTTGTTAATGGCGAGATATACATATTAGCTGAACCAGTCGTCTAGCTTTTTCCATTGAAATATGGCTTTTTCTTCTTGATAAGTAAAAATATTAGTTTCCAAACTGACTGCGTGCGCGCTAAGGAAAAAGCCGACAAAAAATGCATATGTATTTTTCCTCCTGTGCATATTTTTTTTTATCTCGGTTCAATACGGCTTTTAGGCGTTTGAAAATTGTCGTTAATGTGGATGCGAATTTATTTCGTCAAGTTTGCTTGCTATAAAAACCTGAAAGAAATCCATATTGCTGTGGTTTCTTTTTCATGACCGCGGACTTTTTTTTTGTCAAAAATTTTATTTGAACACTTTTCTTTCTGTTGAAAGGTAAGTACATCCCCTCTTTTTCTTTGTGATAACAACATTAAAGCACTATTGTGCCCCGCTTTTTGACGGAAAGAGGACAGACACTATGTTTTGTCGTCAGCGCCGACGAGTTCAAAGTAGTGCTTTTTGTTTTGTACAGGAAAAAGAAACTGGTAATTAAAATACACAAAATAAAAAACAGCTTTTGATTATCAATTTGTTCAAAAATTTATCTATACGCCTAGTTCTGCAGCGAGAAGAAAAATCAAGAAAATCACAAAGAAAAAGAGGGGATCTACTTAATTTTCAACACAGAGAGAAAAGTATTTGAATAAAAATTTTGACAAAACAAAAGTCTTTGAGACTCCGCGGTCCCGAATTGAAAATTCAGCAGCAATGTAGATTTCACTTTTTACTGCAAGCAGGCTTGATGAAAAAAGTTCGCATCCAAATTAACGACAATTTTTTACTTCCTAAAAGCTGAATTGAACTGAGATAAAAAAATCTACTTGAGGAAAAAGACAGTAATTTTTCAGTCGGCCTTTTGCTTAGTGGTCAGTTTGGAAACTTATCTTTTTTAAATATCAACAGGAAAAGGCATATTTCGAACGAACATCTACTGAAATCTTTTCAAATTTTTGTTTACCCTCGCTTTATTGAGCAAAGGCAAACATTTATTTTAAAAGTGAAATTTTACAAAATCGGATCCGGAGTTTTCATTGCAAAAGTTTCGTTTTTCTTGCAAATATGACTCCGTGCACGAAAGGAAGAAATAAAGGTGGTGCATTAATTGAACTTTAAAAGAATTTATCGCCGTTTTCTGGTTCAGCTATTATTTCGCCATTGGGTGAAAATTTATATATCTCGTAACAAGGTGAATTCAAGTTGTTCTTCTTTTAGCACACACAGGCAAAAACGGAATTCTTCTTCAATGACTTTTTTGATACAATCAAGGGCGTCTCCAATTAATTAGGGCTCATCAGTTTAAAAATTCCAATCATTTTTATTTAATTTGCACACCAATTCAAGACAGAAAAAGGTTCTTCCTGGCCGGACGTGGCCGCATTAAGGGATAGCATCAGGCACCTTGGACAGAACGAAATCCCTCCAGTATTGCACCGGGAAGAATTCTGTGAGGCCATCGTAGAGGCCAGTGGCGCTGTCGCATTCGACCCAGTTGACGAACGCCACCAGCACTCCGTTGATCAGCAAGGCAGGAACAATGGAGTAAACGGGATCGTTGTCGTACTGAAAGTTTTCATTAAAACGCTCAAAAACGAATTGCATTTCATGACGCAAGAGTACCGAACAATCGGTGGCGCTGTTGTCGGCGCATTCGTTGGTTCCGTCTGGGTTGAAATCCGACGAGTCTCCGAACTGGTCAGTGTACAACTGCGGACAGTTTTCCGCGGCCAGCACGTCCGTCGTGTGTCCGAACAGCGTCTGCAATGAAATACGTTTGAACAAAAAAGTGTTACAAAAAGAAAGATGGCGGACGCACGCCGTTGCCGGTGTAGTAGACGACGGTGCCGGTGACGTTGGTGGTGAAATCGTGGTAGTCGGACGGGGTCAGAGTTTGGTACGGGCCGTCGAACTTTTTGTAGCATATTTTCAGAACTTCGATTCAATCGTTGGGACCGGACTAGTCTCTGACGGCCGGAAAAGGGGTGGGTACGCCATGGATCGTTACCAACTTTTTAGCACTAGAGCTGCAACGTAAAAATAATTTGGATTAAATTTTTTGAGTTACTTCAATGTTTTCATACGTGAGCTCATCGGCGTTGGTCATGATGTACTGACAAGAGACGAACACTCCTGGCACCAAACTGTCGTATTGATCCAACACCATCACCTACACATAGTTTCGCAACTCATCATATTAAATTTGAAAACGTTTCAAGGAAATTCATAGACATTTGCACGTTTACAACGTTAGAAATTTTTGGTTTGTGCTGGTAAAATTACTCTTATACTTGTAAATGCGCACAGAAAACTAATCGTCTCATTCGCTCAAAAGAAATGTTCTTGATCATTTTCATTGTTACGTGTTTGAACACGAAATTTTGAGGTTTTTACCAAACCAGGGTAATCTGCATTGTCGAGCACCGTTGTGGGTCCATTTGCGGCAGCAACTGCGAGCCAAGTTTACGTTCAATCATAATTCTCAATCACGACAGCAAGAATTATTTGTTATTTTTAAGCGAGTCCAGAATCCCATTTAATTTCAACAATTATTAAAATAAAATTCAGTCCAAGACAAGCTTGAATATCACAGAATTTGTGAAAAATTCGGAAAGATTCAGAATTCGGAAAGATTGAAATCGTAAATCATTTTACCTGTGCCGATGCAAACCAACAGAACTGCGAGTTTTCCAACCAGACTCATCATCTTGGAAAGTTCAAATGTGACCTGAGCCACGACTAGGCCCTCCTTTTAAAGGCACGACGGCGACACGCAACTTGAAAAACCACAAATACGAAACACGCACGTCCCTCTCATTGATAAGCGTTTACCCTGCGCAATTAGACGCTCGACTTTTGAGGTGGCATTTCATTAAAAAAAAAATTATAATTATCTCTGTCTTTGTGCACGTCCGGTGCGTCTAACTTGACAGTTTTGTTTCTCGTTACAAATCAAGTAATTTAAGAAAATCTCATTGTCACACTCTTATCAAATCTATACACAATGGAAGCCAATTTTTGCAATAATTGTAAATTATAACATTCATTGTAATTCTTAAATTGAGCTATTAACATGCACATTAAAATGTAATTTGAAGGAAATGCTAAATTTGCTTATTCCTGCCAACACCTGAAATCTGCTTTTTTTCCACGCTTTTGTCTATGCCTCATTATTTTTATTTATTCGAGCTTTCTCTTTTCATGTTGCCGCAAACGAGCACTCCCCAAGCAATTAATTTTTCCTTCAAGCAAGTGATAATTTAAAGTGGGACTTGTTATCGTTTTGCGTCAAGTGTTTGCGCTGAAAAGTTTCAAAACTTGACAGAGTGAAAATAATTTCAACTTGCAAGCAATATATGGACGAAAAATTAGTAATTAGTAAATTACAAAATCAATTAATTTGCCAAATCAGGATGATCTCGGCTTGATCGTGTGGTAGGGTTGCCTAAAAATGAAAAAAATAAATAAATAAAAAAAAACATTCGACTTGATTTCAACCAATTATTTGTAACTTAAAATGTTTCAATGATATGAAATTTTGCGAATATTGTATTGTAAATTACAGAGACTAAAAGGAAATAAAAATTTTATTGCGTTTAACAAAAAAAAAACTACTGGAAAATGACATTCAGGATCCTCTAATTCAATAAAATAAATAGTTATTACTCTAAAAATTTACATTAATTTTATTATTTGCGATTGCATTAAATTAATTCTAATTATGAGAATTTTAAATCCTCAAACACAAAATATCACGCCGTGAAAGGTCATTTTTTTCATAACTAGAGTTTGTTCTGGATAAGTATTTATTATAATTTAACAATGATGATTGCATTTTTGTTGCATTTTTAATTTACTTTATTTGAAAACTGGCTGCGTGGACAAAACGAAAAGCGACGCCTTGACTAGCTTTCCACGAGTGGAGACAAAAATTAATTGCCTTTTTCCGCTCGCTGCGAAGGAAAGCGGGGCATTTGTTATCACAACAACTTGCAAGTTTAATTGTTGCTTTTGAACGTGGAAAAAAGCGAAAAAAGCGACCGAGGCCAACTGTTATTTTGTTTTTTTAGTTCAAATTTTATCGTGTTTTGGTAAATTGTGACGAGAAAAGCAGTTTCCTCGCACACCGACCTGAAGAAAGCAATCAAGTTCCAGGCACTGCAAACAAAAACATCTTGAAGTTTTCATTTGAATTTTGATATGCAGATTTTTGCTTCTTTCAAAATCGAAATTTAACAGAAAAAAATTATTCGTGTCAAAAGCATGCGCGAGAAATAAAATAGAAAAAGTGATTAACGTTTTCTATTTGATTTGAAAAGAAAATTTTCACGTCGTTTCAAAGTCTGGCTCGACAAAAAGCGTTCGAAATATTTAAAAATTATTTTTCCATCTATGTAAATTTAGAGTTTCAAATAATAAAGAAGTGGCAACTTCTTGAAGTTTTCGCGGATTCTTCTATTTTTTTCCTACCAAAAATCCAAACACTCAATCAAGCAAATTATATAACCTGCACTTTGGTTACACAATCATTGCAAAGTCTCGAAACTCTCTGTGAAAAAATTTACTCAAAATCAAGTTAACATTTTAATTTGAGCTTTTCAATTTTCAACAATTACTAAATATTATTTGAAAAATTATATTTATCCATAAAAAAAAGTTCACTCGTGCAGTTTTATTTTTTTTTTAGCTTTCCATTTGATTTGCATTTTCAAAATCATTAAAAAAAACTTGATACGATTTGAAACCAGTTTAAAGAATAACACCAAAATTTCTGCCAATAATTTTGCAGATAATTTAATATGATTTTTATGTTTTTGCTGAAAAATATGGAGAAAAAAGTTGTTAAAA